TCCTTTTCCTTTTTCCTTTTCCCTTTTCCTTTTCCTTTTCGTTTTTCCTTTTCCTTTTTCCCTTTTTCCTTTTCCTTTTCCCTTTCCTTTTCCCTTTTCCTTCCCCCTACTTTTCCTTCTCCTTCTTCCACCCTTCCCTTCCCTTTTTCTCCTCCTTCTCCCCTTTCTTCTCCCTTCTCCTCCCTGCCTTACTCCCCCTTTTCCCTTGTCCCCTTTACGCCAGTCTCCCCATTTCCCCTCCTTCTCCCCCTTTTTCCCCCTTCTCTCCCCCTTCTGCCCCACTTCTCTCCCCTTTCCCTTCCTTCTCCTCCCTTTCCCCCTTTTCCTGCCCTTTTCCCCCTTTTCCTGCCCTTTTCCTCCTTTTCCTGCCCTTTTCCCCTTCCCCCCCTTTTTCCGCCCCTTTTCCTGCCCCTTTTCCTGCCCCTTTTCTGCCCCTTCTCCCCCTTTTCCCACCCTTTTCCCCCTTTTCCTGCCCTTTTCCTGCCTCTTTTCCCCCTTCTCCTCCTCCCCGTCTCTCCTGCCACTCCACCAGCGACCATTAAAGCCCTATGGTGGCCACCAGTGGTTGCCAGCCCATTGTATGGCACTGGCCAAGCTCATTGGTGATCATTGCCAGCTCATTGTACGGCACTGGCCAAGCGCTTTGGTACCTGATGACCATTGTATGACATTGGCCAAACCCTTTGGTGCCTGATGACCATTGTATGACATTGGCCAAGCCCTTTGGTGCCTGATGATCATTGTATGGCATTGGCCAAGCCCTTGGGTACCCGATGACCATTGTATGGCACTAACCAAACCCTTTGGTGCCTGATGAGCATTGTATGACATTGGCCAAGCCCTTTGGTCCCTGATGAGCATTGTATGACATTGACCAAGCCCTTTGGTGCCTGATGACCATTGTATGGCATTGGCCAAGCCCTTGGGTACCCGATGACCATTGGATGACATTGGCCAAGCCCTTTGGTACCTCATGACCATTGCATGGCACTAACCAAGCCGTTTGGTGCCCGATGACCATTGTATGACATTGGCCAAGCCCTTTGGTACCTGATGACCATTGTATGACATTGGCCAAGCCCTTTGGTCCCTGATGACCATTGTATGACATTGGCCAAGCCCTTTGGTGCCCGATGACCATTGTATGACATTGGCCAAGCCCTTTGGTACCTGATGACCATTGTATGATATTGGCGAAGCCCTCTGGTACCTGATGAGCATTGTATGACGTTGGCCAAGCCCTTTGGTGCTTGATGACCATTGTATGGCATTGGCCAAGCTCTTTGGTACCTGATGACCATTGTATGATATTGGCGAAGCCCTCTGGTACCTGATGAGCATTGTATGACGTTGGCCAAGCCCTTTGGTACCCGATGACCATTGTATGACATTGGCCAAGCCCTTTGGTACCTGATGACCATTGTATGACATTGGCCAAGCCCTTTGGTACCCGATGACCATTGTATGACATTGGCCAAGCCCTTTGGTACCTGATGACCATTGTATGACATTGGCCAAGCCCTTTGGTCCCTGATGACCATTGTATGACATTGGCCAAGCCCTTTGGTACCTGATGCCCATTGTATGACATTGGCCAAGCCCTTTGGTCCCTGATGAGCATTGTATGGCCCTGACCAAGCCGTTTGGTACCCGATGACCATTGCATGGCCCTGACCAAGCCCTTGGCTGCCCTTCACCGCCCATCTCCCATCAACCTCCATTTCTCTCCCCCATCCTCCCATCAAACCACTCCCCCATTGACCCCCTCTTTGTTTCGGGGGGGGGGTCTCCCCCCTCTCTCTCTATTCCCTATGGCAGAGGTCCAGTTCCGCCCGTACCGCACCGACGACTTCATCACTCGCCTCTACTACGAGACGCCGCGCTTGACCGTGCTCAACCAGACGTGGGTGCTGAAGGCGCGCGTCAACGACTCCGAGCGCAACCCCAACCTCTCGTGCAAGCGCACCCTCTCCTTCCAGCTCATCCTCAAGAGCAAGATCAACTCCCCCATGGAGTGCTCCTTCCTCCTCCTCGAGGGGCCCTACGACGACGTCAAGATCCGGCCCGTCATCTACCACTTCGTCTTCAGCAACGAGAGCAACGAGACGGATTACATGGCGCTGCCCATCGTCGACTCGGTGGAGTGCAACAAACTGCTGGCCGCCAAGAACATCAACCTGAGGCTTTTTATATTCCAGATCCAGAAGTGAGACTGGGGAGGAGGAAGGGAAACAAAAGGAAAAAAAAAAAAAAAGGAAAAAGAACAGGATACAAAAAAAAAACGGGGAGGAAAAAAAAAAAACAACAACAAAACAACAAACCCAACCCCCCCCCCCCAAAAAAAAAAAACTGGGGAAAAGCTCCTCCCAAAAAAACCTGGTAAAATACAAAAAAAACTTTGGGGGAAATACAGAATACATGGGAAAAATATAAAAAACTTTGGGGGAATACAGAAAACCTGGGAAAAATACAGAAAACTTTGGGGAAATACAGAATACGTGGGAAAAATACAGAAAACTTTGGGGAAATACAGAAATTTTGGGGAAAATACAGAATACCTGGGAAAAATATAAAAAACTTTGGGGAAAATACAGAAAATTTGGGGAAAATACAGAATACCTGGGGAAAACCCAAAAAACCTGGGAAAAATACAAGAAACTTTGGGGAAAATACAGAATACCTGGGGAAAACCCAAAAAACCTGGGGAAAATACAAAAAACTTTTTGGGAAATACAGAATACCTGGGAAAAAATACAAAAAACTTGGGGGAAATACAGAAAACCTGGGGAAAATACAAAAAAACTGGGAAAAATACAGAAAACTTGGGGGAAATACAGAATACCTGGGGAAAACCCAAAAAACCTGGGAAAAATACAAAAAACTTTGGGGAAAATACAGAATACCTGGGAAAAAATACAAAAAACTTGGGGAAAATACAGAAAACCTGGGGAAAATACAAAAAACCTGGGAAAAATACAGAAAACTTGGGGGAAATACAGAATACCTGGGGAAACCCCCAAAAACCTGGGAAAAATACAAAAAACTTTGGGGAAAATACAGAAAACCCAGGGAAAACCCAAAAAACCTGGGAAAAATACAAAAAACTTTGGGGAAATAACAGAAAACTTGGGGGAAATGCAAAAGAACTTGGGGAAAATACAGAAAACTTGGGGAAAATACAGAATACCTGGGGAAACGCAAAAAACCTGGGAAAAATACAAAAACTTTGGGGAAAATACAGAAAACCCAGGGAAAACCCAAAAAACCTGGAAAAAATACACAAAACTTGGGGAAAATACAGAAAACTTGGGGGGAAATACAGAATACCGAGGGAAAACCCAAAAAACCTGGGGAAAATACAAAAAATCTGGGGAAAATACAAAAAACTTGGGGGAAAATACAGAAAACTTGGGGGGAAATACAGAATACCTGGGGAAAACCCAAAAAACCTGGGGAAAATACAAAAAACTTTGGGGAAAATACAAAAAACCTCGGGAAAATACAAAAAAACCTTGGGGAAAATACGGAAAATTTGGGGGAAATACAGAATACCTGGGGAAAAATGCAGAAAACTTGGGGGAAATACAAAAAACCTGGGGTAAATACAGAAAAAAGTTGGGGAATATACAAAAAAGTTGGGGAAAATACAGAAAACTTGGGGGAAATACAAAAGAACTTGGGGAAAATACAAAAAACATGGGGAAAATACAAAATACCTGGGGAAAAATACAAAACTGGGGAAAATACAGAAAACCTGGGGAAAATACAAAAGAACTTGGGGAAAATACAAAAAACATGGGGAAAATACAAAAAACCTGGGGAAAACAAATAAATCATGGGAAACAACCCCCAAAACCCTGGGGAAAAGGCAAGAAACCGGGGGAAAACCCCCAAAACCTGGGAAAAACACAGAAATTGTGGGAAACAAGCCCCAAAATACTGGGAAAAAGACAAAAAACCTGGGAAAAATACAAAAAAACTGGGAAAACCACAAAAGTCGTGGGAAACAACCCCCAAATCCTGGGAAAAATACAAAAAACCTGGAAAAAAACACCAAAAACCTGGGAAACCCCCCAAAATCGTGGGAAATAACCCCAAAAACGCTGGGGAAAAGACAACCTGTGGAAAAAAACCCCAAAATCTGGGAAAAACACAAAAATCATGGTAAACAACCTCCAAAACCCTGGGAAAAAGACAAAAAATCCGGAAACCCCTGAAAACCATGGAAAAAAACCACAAAAAACCTGGGGAAAAACCCCCAAAGCCTGGGAACCCCCAAAAAAACCTGGGAAAAAAACCCAAAACACTGTGAAAACCCCGCAAAACTTGGGGGAAAAGTACAAAAATCGTGGGAGAAAACACAAAGAACTTGGGAAAACCGCAAAAAAACTGGGAAAAACCCCAAACCCTGGGAAAAACCACAAGAATAGTGGGAAAAAAATACAAAAAATCTGGGACTCCCCCAAAAAAAAACTGGGAAAAAAGACAAAAAACCTGGGAAACCCCCCAAAACGTGGGAAAGAAACAAAAAAATGTGGGACCCCCCCCCCCGAAACATGGTGATAAACCCCAAAAACCTGGGAAAAACCCAAAAAACATGGCAAAACCCCCCAAATCTGGGAAAAAACACACAAAAAAAAGGGGAAAAAAACCCACAAAAATGGGAAAAAACAGGCAAAAAACCTGGGAAAACCACAAAAACCTGGGACACCCCCTCCCCAAAAACTGGGAAAGCCACAGAAAACGTGGGGGAAACCCCCCAAAACCTGGGAAAAATACAAAAAACCTGGGATAAAAAAAAAAGCACCATTGAAGCCCCCCCAAAAAACCTGGGAAGAAACACAAAAAACCTGGGAAATACCCCAAAAAACTGGGAAAAAACCCACAAAAAAACTGGGAAAAATACCCCCTAAACTGGGAAAAGCCAGGCAAAAAAACCTGGGAACCTCCCCCCCCCCCCAATCCTGAGAAAAACAAAAACGTGGGAAAAAAAACCTGGGAACAAGACAAAAAACCTGGGAAAACACAAAAAACATGGGAAACCCCCCAAAAATGCAGGGAAAAAAAACCCCAAAACGGGGAAAAGGACAACCTGGAAAAAAGACAAAACTGGGAAAACCCCAATAAATGCAGGGAACACCCCCCCCCCCAAAAACTTGGGAAAAAGACAAAAAACCTGGGTAAAAATACAAAAAATGTGGGAAAACCCCCCCAAACCTGGGAAAAAGACAAAAAAAACTGGGAAAAATAAAAAAAAATGTGGGGAACCCCCCCAAAACCTGGGGAAAAGAAAAAATTCCTGGGAAAACCGCCCCAAAACTGGGAAAAAAGACAAAAATTCTGGGAAAAAGACACAAAACCTGGAAAAAAAACCCCAAAATGCGGGGGAAAAAAAACCCAAAACCTGGGGAAAAGACAAAAAAGCCTGGGAAAAAAACCACAAAAAACACGGGGAAAACTCCCCCAAAAACCTGGGAAAAACACAAAAATCCTGGGAAAAAGACACAAAACCTGGGAAAAACCCCCAAAATGCGAGGAAAAAAAACCCCAAAACCTGGGGAAAAGTCAAACCTGGGAAAAACACAAAAAACATGGGGAAACCCCCCAAAAACCTGGGAAAAAGACAAAAATCCTGGGAAACAGGCAAAAATCCTGGGAAAAAAAGACAAAAATCCTGGGAAAAAGGCAAAAAACCTGGGAAAACCGGACATAAATGGGATCAAAACCCCACAAGGAGCTTGGAAAACTCCCGAGAGACTCGGCAAATCCCTTTGGAAGCGCTGCAAAGAAGATGGGAAATGGCCCCAAAATGCCCCAAAATCCTCCTTAATAAAAAGCTGCGTTCGAGCTCAAAACAGGCCCTGGAGAACCCTAAAGAAAGGTGAAGAAACCCCCCCAAAAAGACCCCAAAATGTCCCAATTGACCTAAATGGACCCAAATAAAGGCCCCAGTAAACGTAAAGAAAAGACCCCAAAGAATCTCCCCAAAACACCTCTTAAAAACCCCAAAAGACCCCAAAAAGCAGCTCCCAAAACCTCACTGAAATGTCCCCAAAAAGTCCTCCAAATGGGCCCAAAAGCCTCAAAACCGGGCCTCAAAAAGACAAATTTGCACGAAATGGACTCAAATTCGGGCCCCCCAAAAGCCCTAAAATAGCAAAACGCCAAAAGGGTGGAAATGAGGTCAAAAGAAGGCCTGAAAACACACCAAAAAAGACCCAAAACTGCCCCAAAGAGACCTAAAAGTTGGCCCTGGGTGACTCTAAAGAAAAGACCCCAGAAACCCCCCAAAAGGTTCCAAAATCTGCAGAAAAGGCCCCAAAAATCCCCTAAAAACAAGGTTTCAAAAACGCCTCAGAAAAAGCCAAAAAACCCCTAAATAAGGTCAAAAAACCTCAAAACCAGACCCCAGAAAGTCAGAATTAGACCCAAGGAACCCAAAACTCCAAGAAACGCCCCAAAATCGCCTTTTGAAACTCACAAAATGCCCCCAAACCCGCTAAAAATGGCCCCAAAAGACACAAAAATGACCCCAAAAAGAGGTCCCGAGGAACTCTAAAAATCACCCCAAAAAGACTCAAAAATGGGCCCGAAAAAGCACAAAATGGCCCCAAAAGCTCAAATCCCCCCAAAAGTCCAGAAAAGGCTCCATAAACCACTAAAAACCTCAAAAAAGCATAATCTGACTCAAAAATGACCCCAAAACACTAAAAAGAGGCCCCCAAAAATCCCAAAATACCCCAAAAGACCTAAAAATTGGCCCGGAGAGCCTCAAGAAAGGGCCAAAAGCCCCCTCCCAAAAGGCTTCAAGAAACTCATAGAAAGAGGCCAAAACCCATAAAAATGACCCCAAAACACTCAAAAATTGGCCCAAAGGAGCTACAAAAATGGCCCAGAAAGACGCAAAAGAGGCTGAAACCCCCGAAAATTCCAAGAAATGCCCCAAAAGACATAAAAAATGGCACAAAAGACCCAAAAAATGGCCCCAAAAATTGCTCAGAAAAAAAACCCAAAATGGCACTGAAAAATTCAAAAAATACCCCAAAACGTCAAAAAATGTCAATGAAAACGTCAAACACCCTAAAAACCTCAAAATTGCCCCAAAACACCTCAAAACCGACTTAAAATGCCCCCCAAACACACAAAAACCTAAAAAATCCCATGAGATAACCCCCCAAAATTCCCCAAATTCCAAAATCCTAAAAAATCCCACAAAAAT